GCATCAGGGTGCGCTTCTCGCGAATCAGATCCGCCTTCATACGAGTATCGGCATCCTCCACGTCTTCGACACTGTGGTCGGACTCGTAGTAGCCATCGGCTTCCAGCTTCTCCTCCTCTTCCTCCAGAGCAGCCAGCTTGGCCTCGATCTCGGGGTCGACAAAGTCGTAAATGTTCTTGCCGTTCCAGACCTCGGGGATCTTGTCGTGCTTCCACTCGTCGTCGGCCAGATCGTAGGTCTTCTTGAGGTCGATGTTGTAGACACCAGCACCACCGTTCTCCTCCTCGAGATCCCTCTCCAGTCTGCGGCGGTTGGGGTCGTCCTTGTCGTACTTCTTGAGCGTCTTGACGGCCTCAGGAATGAAGGTCTCGCGCTGCACACCGCCCATGGGCTGAGCAACGTGGATACGGGCAAGGACGTCACCCAGACGACCACCAGGGGTACCGGCGTTGTTGGTTCCAGACTTGAGTTTCTGAGCCACACGCTCGGCGAGGAGCTTGTCACAGGCGGCGTTCTTGACAGCAGTCACACCCTCGGTGGTGGTGCAAGACAACTGCAGAAGCTCAACATCACCCGACTTGAGGACGTTCTGGAGCTCTTGCTGGTATTCGGGCTCCAAGTCCTCAGGGCGTCTCACATCGATCTTGTTCACAACAAGGAAAACGATCTTGTTGGCGAAAAGAGGCTTGATGCTGTGGAAGAGCTTGATCTGATCGCCAACAGAGTAACCGCACTGCTCGGACAGATCCATGAAGTACATGACCGCGGACCGAAGATGGGCAATGGCGGTGATGGACTGCATTTCGATGGTGTTCATCTCCTCAAGAGGGTGGTCCAGAATACCGGGGGTATCGATAGCCTGGAAACGCAGGTACTTGTAGTCAAAGTGACCGACGAACAGACTCTTGGTGGTGAAAGCATAGGGCTGAACGTCGACGTCGGCACGGGTGATGCTGCGCAGGAAGCTGGACTTTCCGACGTTGGGGTAACCGCAGATCAGGAGGGTGCGGGTGTTGGGGTCGATCGAGGGCAGACGACCCAAGTGCTGACGAACCTGCTCAAGGTAGACAAGGGGGTCCTTGAGACGCTTGCAGATGGTGGCCATACGACCAAGGGCAGCGCGCTTGAGCTGCTTGCACTGGAACAGAGACTGAGCATACTTGATCAGGCGGACGTAGTCGCGGGAGACCGTTTCGATGAGATGCTTAGCAGTCGAAACCTGACCCAGGGCGATTCTGAAGTGGTCGGCATCGTAGAGGGTGTTCATCAAATCCTTGTCTGGGAATTTGTCAGGATATGTCGTTGACCGAGAAACAGCGAAAGAGATAGTGGGGTTTGGAGCTCTGAGAGCAAGCAGGCGACTTACGGAAAGGATGAATATCTTGCAGTCTGGGGAATCCATCGAGGATAGCCTGGAACTTTTCGCAGAAAGTCTCCTGGGTGTATTTGACCTTTCTGGTGTAGAAGCCTGTGGGCAGAGAAGAATTTTAATTAGTTCAGCCCGAATATTTCTGATTTGCCGCTTTTGGAGCAAGCTTGTGCATCCCGCACCAACGGGGAAGAAGTCCAAGACATACCGCGAATACGACTGATGTTGAACCCAGCACGGATCTGGGTAGGGAGCTGTCGCTGAGTGCGACTGAGGACGATGTCCAGGAATTCCTGGCTCGTGGGCACAGGAGCGATCTAATCAAGCGGTGAAAAAGAGATGTCAGATCGAATGTTTTTGCGACCGGATTGGCTTGTTCGGGGATCAACGAGGAGCACTCACATCTTTCCACGTCGTCTTCATGATGGGCACCGGGGATGGAGTCGAAACAGCAGGCGACTCTTGAACAAAAACCCCGTGGTTAGTAAATAAGAGGTGGACAAGCGCAAATCTGCGTTGAAGCGATAAAAGAAAAAAAAATATTCCGGGCGGTCGGAGGCAGATTTTGGCGGGCGGTGAGCGCTGGACTAATGTGGGGAATTTCCCCCCTTTGGAGTTTCTCGGACTGCTTCTAGGCGAGGCGGCCAGCCAGCAAGCAGCTGTTGGGTACTTACGCATATTAGTACTAGAGTATATCTTATAACTTATGTCTTGAATTCTTCGAACCATGTCTATACCATATATTCATTTACACTGACTACCGGGGACTATGATACAAATATGCCTGCCCTGACCAAACCATCCCGTGGTGCTTCAATCCGGCCATCATAATACCAGCATCATCATCATCGGTCCCTAAACCCTCGTAGCCCGACAAACGCCGTTGCTTTTTATCATGAACCCACCAGTAAGACCGAATCCTGTGTAATCCATAGCATGCGTCATATAAAATGGGGTAGTGTGAAAAAAGATCAAGAGAAACGAACAAAACGTGAGAAATCGAAGACGACATAAAGGGGGGGAGCAAAAAAAAAGAAAACCACAACACCATGCCCCAGAGATGCAGTAGCATTAAAGAACAGGCCCACGAGCGCTTACTCCTTGGCGAACTCGAAGATCTGTGGACTGTCAGCTTCGGTCTTATGCAACCAAATATATGCTGGAAAAAAAAACTTACCATGTTCACCCAGCCACCACCGCCAAACTGGCAGTTGCTAGGACCGCGGTTCTCAAAACCAAAAGACTGATAATAGGGAACCAAGGGGCCATGCGCAATGATGGAAATGCGATCAGCGATTTGCGCATCCTTGATCCGCTGAATGTATGCCTTCATCAATGTGCTGCCAACCTGCTTGCCCTGATGTTCCGGCAGCACAGCAAGAGAGTGGATGGCAATCGTGCTGCCGTACTCGTCATGACCGACGGTCTCTCCGTCCACCACAGTCATGCGCTCTTCCTGCCACTTCGCCGGTAGCTCCATAGACTTATCCGTCACCACAGGGTTCGAGGTTCTCGTGGCGATGACGTGCCCCACCAGCGTCGGGCGAGGCTTAGGCTCGCCCTCACCGAGAATTGGAAGAGTAAACAAGCCGAGACATAATTCCGGGCATCTGCTCAGGCGATAACGAAACTGTGAACCCAATTAGCCCAAGCTCCAACCAAATTGCTTGACTGGCGCATAGCATCCAACACCTCACTCATACCTTTTCGCGCGAGCAGCGCTCGTGTTCAGGGAACGCCTCCTCGACCTTGACGCAATCTTCCACGTTCGACTCGGTAAGAACCTGCACGAACGGGTGCAGTTCGTCCAACTTTGTGCGTTGGTGGACGGGCGGGCGGCGGAACCAGTAAGGGTACTCGTTGATATCGTCATGGTCCACGGCGACATATTCCCCTTCGACTTCTTCCTCTTCGTCATCGTCATCCTCCTCAATCTCAGCCTCTCCTAGAGGCTGACCATCGGCGTATGAGAACTCTGCGCGCTCCGCGCGGCGGGACAGGTCACTCGCGGTAGCAGGCAAGTCGAAGCCTTCCGCATTTGATAACGGCTTGAGCCCGTTGATGGGTTCCTGGTAGTGAGAGTTGGCCTGGTCGGACATGATGTAGGTATTCACGGGAGTTGAGGAGTAGTGGGGCAGTGTAAAAAGCGATGGCGCAACACTCGGGCCAGGGAGAAAGAAAAAACGAAGGGTGAAAAGAAAGGCAACGTGACAAGGACAGAATCAAGGCCGAGGGTTGACCGGGAAGGTAAGAAGACGGGACGAAAAAGGGAATCGAGGGGTACGAAGTGCTCGGGAAAGCCTAGAAAACCGGGTGGGGATCGATTTAGCTTAATGCGGCCGATAAGCCTCGGGGGGAAGCAAAGTGGTGATTGCGATTCCAGAAGCTCAAGTTCTAGAGGAGAGGTGGAGATGGGAAAGAGTTTCAAGCAGGCAGGAACTGGGTTAATGACTCGAGCTGGGCAGGCGTCAAGGAGAAACCGGGGGGAGTCTTTCTGGAACGCGCACAAGGGAGATCAATCAGTCGCGCAGGCAGAGTTTGTGTGCGATTGAGATTGCATTGAGCGAGGGGGTGGGTTTGATTTGATTTGGTTTGGTTTGCCACACGCGGAGGGAATGCGACAGATCTCCGTCAGGAGTGATTGGCTGGGGGTGGAGAGGTGTGTCTCGATTGATTGAATGAAGGACTGTCTCCTTCCCCAGACCTAAAATCTGATGCCAATTCTCTTTCGTCGCTTGGAGTAACTCTGGTGGCTATCACATTTTTCTCGCCCATCTACATGTCTCGATACCCTAAGTTCATTTCCCGTGAGGACCTTCAGTTCCAACATTACAACAGGGAAGCGGGGCAGCAGCACATTGACCTTCAGCTGGCAGTGCGAGAGGAGCGGGCAATACCGGACAGGTACTGATAAAGGCTCCTGCAGGTCATGGCGGTACGGTATCATTACGCGTCCATGCGCTCGTGCAATGCAACTTTTATGACTTGTCATTGGCTGGCTCCATTGATGGGGGCCACGTTACCGTGGAGGTTACCGATACATACCTATTTGGACCGAGTCTTTGAATGTTCCTCTCTTGTACCTCAACCTATCACTTGTAGCCTTGTGAGGTATCCATGTTTTCCTATAATAGTAATTCTGCACAGATCTATTTTGCCATGCTGGACAATATCTAGAGTTGGTCAATGGAGTAACTGGCTGTGCACTTACTGTCTTTGACCCTTCTGCTTTCTCCAACCATGGCATCATCATGCATTGAATGCAACGTTGGAATTCCTCCGACACGAGGGGTTGGAGACAACCTCGTGCACAACAGACCCTGGCCATCATGGCCTGCCATGATTCTTCAGCTCAGATGCAATCTGATAAGCTTGCCAGACTATCGGATCCAAGCCCCCTGTCGACGCTAGCAGATATCGGAAACGAGGCACAGACACTCCGCTGCAGTCCGTCGGCGCTTCGGTCCAATGCCGACCAACGCATCGATGAGCTGGCAGACATTCTTATCTCAACCGCCAGACTAGATACTTTTACCCCGTATATAAAATCAACATCGATAGTAACTTAATATACTTTCCTGCTTTGTCTGCTGCAGCGAATTGGGACGGGTTACCGTTCTCTTGCATCAAGATGGCTAAACCATTCCCTGTTGATCATAGCTTGACATCCTTCTGGCGGTCGGAACCCGATCCCTTGGATAACTTTCGCTCTACAGAGTCACTTCCAGAAACAAGTGACATCGTTATCATAGGCGCCGGCTATGCTGGAGCTTCGACTGCTTATCACTGTCTCGAGCGCAGCCGACTCGTATCAACAGAACAGCCTTCCATTGTGATCTTAGAAGCACGACAGGCATGCTCGGGGGCTACGGGGCGCAATGGCAAGTACTCATCTGTATCCATATTTAGACTGTTTGTCAAATCTAATGCAGGGCGGACTCTGCCGTGTAGGTGGTCACTTGAAGCCTGATGTATTCAACCGGATTGGTAATCTGGCCAAGGAGTACGGATTAGAGGCGGCGGCTGAAGTCGCTGCGTTTGAGATGGAGCATGTCTCCGTTATTGAAGATCTGGTTAAGAAGGAGAAGATCGATTGCGACTTAGAGGTGAACCGAGTCTGCGATATACAGTTTGACAAAGACCAGCTTGCAAAGGTCAAGGCTGGTTATGATTATCTTGTCTCTCAGGGTGTGGAAACAATCAAGGATGTCGGATACACACCACCTGAAATGGCAGAGACCGTATGTCACATTCTACATACATACATACCTAAGACAGCACGGCTTACATCGCCTAGGTATCCGGTGTAAAGGGGGCCTTGGCTTGCTTCAACCAGCGTACCGCCCGACTTTGGCCGTATAAATTCATTATACATCTCTTGAGGCAAGCTGTGTCAGCGGGAGTAAACCTTCAGACACACACGCCCGTCACGAAGGTGTCTGAAGTCCCGGATGACGAAGGCCGATGGATGGTGACCACTGATCGTGGCTCAATCCGCGCCAAATGGGTCGTCTTTTCTACCAACGCATACACGTCGTCCATTGCACCGGAGTACAAGGACAAGATCATCCCAGTGCGAGGATTCTGCAGTCGCATTGTGGTACCCAATCCACCTCCATCGCCGCTCGAACGCTCGTATATGCTGCGGTTCAATGGCTGGCATTATGACTACCTCATTCCCCGGCCGGATGGAAGCATCATTGTAGGCGGAGCAAAGTCGACCTTCTATTATCAGGACCGAGATAGCTGGTACAACAATACCGACGACAGCCGAACGGTTGAGGCGGCAGTGCGGTATTTCGACAACTATATGCAGAGACACTTCCATGGATGGGAGAACTCGGGAGCATATACAGACCGGGTCTGGTCAGGAAGTATGCATCCCATCTCGCATGCTGTCCCTTTTCTTCAGTATGAAATGTATGGTGCTAACTTGAAATAGTTATGGGCTATAGCACGGATTCGCTACCGCACGTCGGACATGTTCCCAACAAGCCTGGGCAGCTCATAGTTGCCGGCTTCACCGGACATGGAATGCCGCAGGTTTTTCTCTCCACCCGGGGTATCGCACAGTTGATTGTCGAGGGAGTCTCATATGAGCAGACGGGGCTGCCGCGTCTTTTCAAAACGACAACTGAGCGGTTGCAGAGCCAGCGGAACAACATCCTACCCATTCCTGTGGTAGGAAGCAAGCTGTAGAATAATAGTACTGTGGAACCATATTAGCACTGAAGAATCGACGTATCCAGTATGAGTCCTAGACAATATTTAAGCCTATCGTATGGTTAAGGCGAAGTGCAGGAGAAGCATTAAGGGGAATGTCGTATACAGTATACTCTCACCGCCTTCGGCATCTCCTGCGGTCATCGGAGTCTCGCCCACGGGGTTCTGTGATTCTTCCCCATGACTATGGGCTCCTCCACTATGAAGAGGAGTCAATGACACGATGCCCATCTGCATCGAGTGCTCCTATCCGGTCTCTCATTTATACAGCACATATAGTCGCGCTGATGACCGTTCCCTGGGTAAAGGTGTGCGTTTGACGCAATGTCCGCGCTGCCAGCGGTTCGCGGACAAATACGTCGAGCACGATTTCGTTGTGATCTTCATTGATCTCGTCCTTATCAAGCCGCAGGTATGTAAATTGCATGTATGGCTGATAAGCTCGCTGACGACCATCAAGGTGTATCGCCATCTACTTTTCAATCGGCTAGGGGGAGACGACAACCAGTTCGATGTGAGTGCTCGCTATCTACATCCACTTACGACATTGCAGACTGCGACTAACACATACCGTTTGCTTAGCGCTCCATAATCCGTCTTGGGATTCTACTACTTCTATTCGACGTCTACCTGACATGGGCACGGATTGAGAAATCCCCATCACTCGCAACTACCTTTCTTTCGCGCGCGCCTATCATCGTCCAATACCTCTTCTTTCTGAGCCTAAATGCGCTGGCGACTCTCGCCCACCACCTTACTATCCGGCTTCTGGCATCGATCCTTGCTCCAACACCTCGCGGATACACTGGCTCTTCTCAGCATGGCAATGCGACAGAAGCGCCTATCTTCTCCAACCCCTCGACACCCATACTCCCGTCATTCCCATCGCAGACCAACAACAGCCAAACACAGCTCTCGCCTACTCCAGCATCGACACTAAGCCCACCGAAGCTCACCCCACAAGGCTCCTCCAACGATGTAACAACAATAGCCAGCGCTTCAGCCAGTGACATCCACCATCTCCCTCCCACAACGCCCCAAGGATCTTTCACCTCCCTCCCACCACCTCTCCGACGTGCCTCCACCGCCCCAGCCCAAAGCATCAGACCCCTTCCGCCCCCCTCGCCAGCCAGTCCAACCGCCATCAGCACCGCCTTGCTCGTCAGCAGTTGCGCGAAGCTCTTCCCAATCCTCCTCGTCATCTGGGGTCCTGACGGCAGCGGAAATGCGTCCAATGTCTCCGGGTCCAACAACACCTTTCTCAGCGCCGGCAGCCAAACAACCATCATACAACAGACATTGGATGGCAACGGCATCGGCCCTGCAGCGACTCTCACCGCAGCTCATCCGACTGCATCAGGGACTTCTTCCCTACCTGGCTCGTCCTCGCTACTGGAAAGTCTTATCAGGATCATGCCCGAGTCTGTACCTACCAGCTATCTAGCCAGCTTTATTGACCTGCTTGGGCCGCTGCTCTCACTGGGCGCGGCGGACACGCATCTCGTGCTGCTGAGCAATATCGAAGCATTGTATATCCTGCTTGGATGCGGGTATCTGCGCGCGGTGGCACTGGCGGTGGCGGGTTTGGCCGCTCGGTGGACTGTACAGAGGGTAATATTGGGGGCAGTTGGGGTTGGTTAACGTTTCTTATAGAAGAGCATACATACATAGACAGACATAGCATTCTAATATACCATACCACATACTACACGTAATGAGCATCTACAAATCGACTGACCCATACAAAGACAGTGAATAGATACTAAATAGGTATTCAAACCAGACGCATCAAGAAGACAAAAGATATAGTAGCGTAGCTATACAGTAATCCCACATTTTATATCATGGTATCACCTCCCTCCACTTCACTCTCAATCACACCCTAGGCCCCTTATCCGCGCATCCCCTGGTATTCAACTAATTCACCCGCATCCCACCCATCATATCACCCTTAAAACATCTTCCCCTCAGCCAGCCCAGACAATCCCCAAAAACAAGCAAGAAAGGTATCTACTGCGGTACCCTCCCCGGCCGAATATCCGACCTCTTCGGCACAATCAACGGATGCCACTGCGCCAAGAATGTAATAGCTACAAAGCAACACCAGTCAGCCACGTCTTAGTAACCCAATAAAACAGAATAAAAAGGAGGAGAAGGAAAGGAAAATGCAAACATACCCCACATCAAATAACAACAAACGAAAGAAAGCACCAGCGTGCTCCGGAAGACACTACATCCCAACAAATTAGCAAATCCCCATCTACCTACCTCCTTCGATGTATTGAGGAGGACAGAGAAAGATTGTATATGATGAACGCACGTCTGATTCTCCCCCTTAGGACTAAAGATCCACGCCAGGACAGAAGCAACCACCACGAAGATGAGGCCGATGATTAAGCTCCAGCTGTTATTCAAGAATATCACATGTTAGTACATATTTCCATTTAGCAACATCATGTCTTATCCAAGACTGAGGAAGAGCGCATCGATAGATAACCATCCAGTCTATAGACAGGTAGGTGTACACCAAGCTGAAACATACCCGTTCGCCATTTTGTCTTTTCTTGCTCTGATCTATTGAATCGATCGAGTATATGTTCCGCGGAATGAGATGTGTACAGCAGGTCCAGCCTTGCTGTTTCTTGTTCTTCTCTTTCGCTTTTGTTTGTATGTCCCTTCGGTGTGTCTGGGGGAGGGTGTAGGTTGAGGACCGGTGGAGGTAGGTAGTAGGTAGCTAGCTGACTAGCTGGATAGCTGACTTGCTGGTTGGGTGGTGGAATGGCGCGAATGCGGAATTCGAGATTCGCTCGTCTGGGTAGTTCGCTGGAGAAAGGTAGGGTCGCAGTGGCAGGTAAAGGACTGGATTGTCGCGCAGCTAGCTGGTCGGAACGGGGGACGGAGTTACGTGGTTATCGAGAGGGAGGTTATCGGCGGAGCTGCGCCGCTGCTCGGGATTGGTGCCTGAGGCATGATTTATCTTGTGGAGATGGTTCTGGCTGTGCTCCGCAGAAGGGATGTCGATATTGTTATTTTGACTGGCTTTGTTTTGGGCAAATGAATTTAATACTGTGGTTAGGAGAAATAAGAGACTAGGACTATCTGATGTATGCCCTTGCGCAGTATGTATTTACGAGGATTTCTCTAATATGAGGTATCGGGCTGATGGTATAGTAGGCGAATGTCAGTTTGATATGCATCGACTGTATCAGTCTACGATATACACTGCATGGTTTACGCTTCAAGCAGTCAATAACCCACGTATTCACACATCGAGGGATATAGAACAATTTCGCAAGACAAACAAGGTGAATCAACGAGGCTAGTTTCCAATAACAAGCGGCAACAAAACAACACGAGACAATGGCGACAAATTCCAGCAACAACCGATTTACGCGCCCTCACGGCTCTTACGGTAGCTGGCCTGCAGGAAGATGCCAATTAGTCACGATGAAAAAACCACCAGTGAATATTGATCGATCATACCTCTTGCTCAACCTGCAAGCCATCGACAACAGGAGCCAGCTCGCTGAGTATCTCGTAAGACCGCTTGTGGTACTCTAGCTGCGCCGCGATCAAGTCGGCCAGGTTCCGCAGAGGTTCGGGGGTATCGAGAACCTGTAATATCCTGTCAGTCTTTACCATCTTTTTCACACAGACGAACAACGTACATTCTTCATCACGCTAACAGCCTCCTCGGTCTGTCCAACGAACTCATCCTCCGCCTGCTCAATCTCCGCACGAGCCTCCTCGCTCAGGCTGTCCCAGTCACCCCTGACGGCGGCCTTCTTGCTCGCCTTGATCGAGTCGAGCATAAGACGAGCGTTCTCAACGTTCTTACGTGCCTTCGCGGCGAACATCAAGTTCGTGTTAAGAGTGGTGTTCCAGCCAGCCAAGAAGCGGGACTGGATCTGAGCGTCCTGGGCCAGACGAGCCTCGCCCACCTTCTCCGACGCCAAAGCGTACTTCTCCAGCGCAGTGGCCAGGGGGTCCTCGCCATGCGAGCTCTGCGCCAGAGTCTGGGAACCTGCCAGAGAGGCGCGGGCAATAGCGTGGTTGAAGGTCTTGGGCTGCGGCTTGGCCGAGGGAGGGGCAGTCAGGGCAGCCTGAGCCTCAGCGGGAGAGGAGGCCTGGGAAAGGAGCTGAACCTTCTCGCTGATGGTGCGGCCCATGTCGTTGAACGATTCGCGGATGTTGGGCGGGTAGTCATAGGCCTCGTTGGAGTACTGGGAACTGCATGTGATGGGGTCAACATGTTAGCTGATTGAGAGATGAAACGTTACGGGAGAAGATATAACGCACGTCACTTGAAGAAGCTTCTGGTGGACAATCTTCAGGGCATCCACCCGCTTCTCCAGCTCGATGTACTCATCGGGGAGTTGAGTGCGGTCATCGGCCTGACCAAGCTGCTCCTTGATCATCTGCTGAGTGCGCGCAGCAAAGGGCGAGAAGCTCGCGCTGCTCGATAAGACATAGCATGTTAGTATAATGCTCGGTTTGCAGTCTTGGCTGTATGACAGCATCGGAGTGCCGCTGGAAATGCGGACAGTCTCCTAATCGGAGAAATTATTGCGGAGGGGAACAGTTATCTCACCTGAGGTTCTTTCCGAACGCCTGGAACTTATCCATGATGTCGTTGGACACTGAAATTCTTAAGTTTCTGGGATAAGCACGATATATCTAAACTGAATACAAATGCAGGAAGTCTGCAATAGGAGGGTCAGAGAGAAGATGGTGTTGATGTGCAGATCGCGGAGTCGAGGCCACTTTCCGTTCATTGGTGCGACACCGCCTTCGTATCGCTGGTACCGCCACGGTTTCATGCCGGCATGTGCCAGGCACCCAGGCAGCATCGTTATCTCAGCCTGTTATCATGTGGACAGTTCTACTTTACTGCTACATATCTTACTCTTGGACAAACTCTAATGTGCGGACACCACTGGTCACATATCTTGCATTGACTAGGCCCAGAAAAGGCCTGATAAGTATTAAACATGGTCTAAACCCACAATCCACAAACAAACCCAGGAACAAGACCTTAATAACGCGCACAAACCCATGAACAAACAAGAATCCCATTGTCGTTATCGTCGTCGTAATAGCATGGCGTCAACCGCACCAATCGAATCATAGTACAAGTCGTCATCGCAATCAAACTGATATAGTACAGATGAAAAATAGGAGACACCGAAATCGTTAAGGAAAAGCTGAAAGTCGTAAAAATGCTCGCCGAGTCCGCGTTCAGTTACCCGGATTAAGTCAAAGTCGCCATCATCGCTCTCATGAGCCGTGAGCTCGGGCCTATGATCATCTCTTAGAATCCGCACTTCACCGCTTGCGTCGGACAAGGCTCATCCTACCTCTGCGATCCTTTTTCACCTCGAGGATCTCCTCTTCTTCGCCGTCGCCAATAATCTCCGTGTCTCGGATCACCTCCCCACCGCCACGTCGCTCGATTTGCGTGTATTCCCGCAGATCGTCATCACTGTCTCGCGGACGTACAACGATTGCAAGTGGGCCAGACTGAAGCTTAGTGGATTGCGCTCCATCGTCATACCGCTCAATTCTACGCACGGGCGATGACCGACGGCGAGGGCGACCCTGGACAGACACGTTCCGTGTCCGAGAGACTGTCCTGGTTATTTTCGTTTCCTCCAGCTCGGGATGGTGGTGGTGATGATGGTGATGGCGCGACCGCGACCGGTGCCGGGACGGAGATGGCTCGATAAGCAAAGTCTCATGGCTCGTCCGGGGAGTGTAACTCTCCATAGCGATTTTTTCCACTATGCGGTCGCGATGTCTGTCGCGAATGGGTGAGGGTGAAGAGGTATGCTTATAATGTGCTTGGAGACCGTCAGCACCATCGCTCTTTTGATGACAAGCACGTGGGAAACCTACTCTCGGTCATGCGCTTGATCTCACGACTTCGACTGATGACCTCGTCAATCTGCTCCTTGGAAAGAGCAACCTGAATGATGATCATTTTTCCCTGCAGCCACGGTTAGCGTTGGACAAGGCCCAGGCCATGTTCTGTTCCAGCTCGACTTGTATCCATGAAATATACACACCTCTTCCTCATACGGATAGCCAAACTCGCGGATCGCGCTGGTGTGAACCAACTTGCGAGGCATGCGAGTTCTGCCTTTCCGAGGATACGGTTTCTCCACGTCAACTTCCTCTACCATTCTCCCACGATACCGACTCACTGAGCGACGTGGGCGCTCCACAATCCGATCACGCTCACGGAACTCCCGGTACTCTTCATCGCCATAGTAGTCTGGTTCCGCGATACGGATTTCCTCGTAGTAGTCGGGCGAACGAACACGGTGGAAGGAGCCTCGTCTTCGCATCGGTGGGGGACTAGGAGGAGCTCTAGGCGGGTAGTCGCTATAGTAATATTCATCGACCTTGCGTGTTGGGCGGTCGAAAGTGTCCAAGGAAGACTGTCGGCGCAGAAGGCGCGGGCGCGGGGGAGGACTCTCGGCATGGCGGTAGGTGACCAGCGGGCCTGGGGAGTAGGCTATATGGTCATCCTCGTAGAATATTTCAGAGCGACGGGCAGGGGGGCCGTATCGCTCCTGTTCCTTAAGGCGATATTCGAAGCGATCATCCTCTTCGACACGACGGGGGCGCTCGAGTACCGG